TTCTGATTCTGATTCTTGGTTGATGGGACAGGTGTTGTGAATGAAATGGTGCCCATGTTTGAAAGAGCTCCTGTGTGTCGCTGAATGTGTGCATTGATGACTGAAAGACATCTTCTACCTAAATCCAGTTTAGTGCATCAGTAGGTTCAAAACAGCTCCTGTATCGGTCAGGAGTCCTTCTTAAAATGAAATGCGCACCGGCACAGGGTTTTATGCTGCTAGAGCTCGATATATGTGATGACCGCATCGGTGTTGCTGGACCCATCACTACCACTAACCTTTTTCAATATCTAAAAGAGTCACATCCAGCCGAATATGAAAAATGCCAGTCTCTCCGGGAAGAACAAACTTGCAAAAACTAACAAACCTCAGCTAAGAAACGGCTAAAAGGCAGATTAGACTTCTGCAACCGCACACATCAAATGTCATTTTGGTCTGGTCGCGAACCAGTTTTGCCAGTATGTGTCTGCAACATTGGTCTGGAAATTCTAGGGACGCACAGCAGTTTCCTGCCAAAGTGCTAGGGGGAGCCTATTTGAGAACTGGCGAGAACTTTGACGGATTGTACTTCCTAACCTTCTCGATTAATCTTTTGTCGTAGTTGTCCATCGTAGTTGTTCCTCGGTTTTTAATAATGGTGCACCCTGGCACCAAATCGAGAAGAACGACCACACAAACAGCCAGAAAGGCATACCAATGACCAATCACTTTTTGTCTGCGCACTTCCGCTTGAGGTCTGCGTGGGTTTGCGACCATCCGACACCTAGTCAGGATTTTTTTGAGGTGCACGACGATGGTGCAGAACCTCTGCTTGGGGGGTGTGGTCGCACACAAGGACAGATTTGATGGTAGCAGAGGCTATGTGTCAGAAGCATAAATTGGCCTTAACTGTTGCCGAATCTTTTGTGCAAAGCAACCCATATGACAGGAAAGGAGCAGGGTCGCTTTACGCATAGCCAAAGAAATGGTGCCCCAATGCACTTACTGTTTTACTTAATAATTCCAATAATGCAATTAATAATTACAAAAAAAATTGTAAATCGAATTACAAATAAAGAAAAACAGATTTTTTTTTATGTAGGCCATATCGCCCAGCCCTAACTCAAGGCATAAAACCCTGAATTGAATCTTTTGATTACTCTTCTGGATTTTAGCAGCTTTGACTGAAACCAGGGAGCTGCTAACTTGCTTAGCCCCAGTACTTCGTTGTTTAACCACTGTGCAAATACACTACTGTTTTTATAGTACATACACACAAAGGGCTTTATTTATTAACAAATTAAGCAAAGGCAGACAGGGGGGATTTTTACCACGTGCCCTTTGGGCAAGTGACTTTCACATTTTATTTGCCCAGAAACAATTTTTACTTGCCCAGTATAATGTTTGATAAATACAGTTCCTAATATTCATTTTTGTATATATATCAATGAAACATGTTTGTTTTTTTTATGTTTCTTATAATTCAGTATTTTTTAAGTTTACAGGTTCCTGGTGTGTATATGCATGCGTCAGATAATGAACTCAAGCTCACATTACCGTGTTAACATGCTTTTCAATCCTTCCTGCACATAAACTAAACTTTGCTTTAAACTGTTGTGTGCTTGGAAAAATATAAATTGTAATATTAAAAATCTAAAAACATATTGACAGGTTAAAAACTTAAGATAAATCACAAGACAGAAGTCAATGTCACAAATGACTTTAATTTTAGAGTGACGGTATGTTTATACAAGATGATACTATTAATATATTGTGACTTTTCTAGAGAATCATTATACATAGTTATTTTATACAGGGTTTCCACAGTCTTAGATAATTTCAGATTTCCCTGACTTTTAACTGACTATGGATTAGTTTTCCCGGACAACATAAATGCAGCAACAAGACAATAACATAACAGGTCACCAATTTAACTTGTTTAGCTCTATAACATTTAAATGCACCTCTCCAATTTCTAAGAGAAAAAAAAGTTTGTGAACATTTTTTAATGTATGACCTGAATCACTACAAAAGACTGCCTTAAGATAGCCATATTTACACTGTGCGCATGGCATACAATTATGCCAATTTTCCTAATCCCTGACCGATCATTTTTAATCTAGGGTTATCTGGGTGGTGGGTGAAATGGGTGGAGGGTAAAATAGGTGGTGGGTGTGTTACTGTACTTACATTTTTTGTTTGCCTTGTTGTTATTTTTTATACTTCCAAGTCGAAAAAAATGTGTCTGATTCACGCCAATTCCCGGACAAAAATCACGCCATCTGGCAGAAAATCTCGCTCCTTTTTCAAATCACGCGAGAATGTGTACAAAACAACAAAAATGGCACCGGCAATGCTTCTGGTTGTTTTCATCGAATGTCGGTGATTTTAAAGTAATTTTGAGTGATAAATCATTTTTTTTTGCGATCATTGCACTTGCCGGGGGGCAAATGCAATGAAATTTGTACTCTCCCGACAATAAAAACTACTTGCCCCGATCGGGCAATGGTTAACATCGAGCCCTGGCAGAGTGCAACACCTGAAAATAACAAATAATACGCCTGCAGCAGTCATTTTTTTAGAAAATAAATTTGCACCCAGTTACTGGCGTATATATTTTTTAAATGTCATATAACGTTGGTTAATCCAGACATTGACTTTTTTGGCTAATAAACCATACACATGTATGTCTAATAGTGCTCTCTACGTGTCTTTGACATTTTGTTGATGGTTTACATATGATGCAGTTCTGCCTTTGTGTTTTAAACAGTCAATTTGATGTCAGAAACAAAGGCCAGTGAATGCAAATGTGCCCTCACCCCTCCCGCAGACACTCTGCTGCACCTCTCTCAAATTGTTGGTGACCGCAGACAGGAGGCCTCTGATTTGTCAAATCTACATCTGCTCTACACTATGCGCATTTCCTGTTTGGTACCTTACTGGCTTGTGTTATTTGTATGACCGCCATTGCGAAAAACGACTCGTGAAGTTGGACCAGCTAGAAGGGCGAGGTGCGCGAGAACGATGGGACCATTTTTCCACCTGGATCTCCGCACGTTTTCGCCCTCATGTCCCGCCGTTGTCGCACAATCTTTCCCCCACTTCCCAACAGCCTCGGCCGTATCTAGACCCACAGCTAGTTCCTTAATGTCCCTCTTGCGTTGTGGCGTGGAATAACTTGGCGCAGATGGGAATTTATATAAAAGTGTCTGCGACAAGCTCACTGCCACACGCTGCTGGAGGGAGCGTAACCAGCCCTTTATGTCTGTAGGTGTACATTATCCAGTTTTAAATCAGTATTACTAATGGCTCTACAATTATTTCCTTATTATTTAACAGTCTGTCCAATGAAGAGAGAGATTTAGATAATTAGACTAAATCAAATTCAGCTCATATTCTGACTCTTTATAACCTCTCTGTTCATCTGCTTTGTTTCGTAGCCATTTTCTATGATGAGGCACCTTGCTGACACAACAAAGAGGACACCCAAACAGGAGACACCCACTGCTGTTGAAGGCAACCAGGCTCCATCGCTTCCATGGAGCGCCCGCTTATGTCTCCCTGTGCTCTGTGAGGATAAAAGGGTGATATGGGTTCATGCAAACGAGGTGGACATGCAGCCAGATGAGGTGGAGGAGCTGAACAAGGCCTTCAGCAGGTCCCCCTATCTAACACCCAAACAGACTGCTGCTCTAGCTCAGCGCTGCTCCCTCCATCCAGACCAGGTGAGGGTTTGGTTTATGGCCCAGAGGCTCCTCTGTGGGATCAGCTGGGATTATGAGGACATCAGAGAGGTCTGTAACAATTTAAAATCCAACAATGATGATGCTGAAGAAGATCAGGAGCTCAGAGACAGGTTTATTGACAAAGAAGTGAAGAACAAGGATCAGAAGAGCGAAGGAAGAGAGTGTGGAGGAGAGGTGAACTGGAACGGACCAAGAAAGCAGAAAAGGGGAAGGAAAAGAAGTAAAAAACAAGATGATGAGAGGATCACTAATGGAGCCAATATGGAACCAGTTCTCACCAAGAAGAGAAGAGCACAGACCAAACTAGTCTCCAGTGGAACAGGGAGCCAGTCAGACCAACAGGAAGAAGCCATGAATCCTGCTCCAACCTCTGGGACCAGACAGGAGGAGACCCAGGCAGCAAAGTCTCAGAGCAATTTGAAGACAGATGGTCAGCTGCTGCTGCTAAGGAACGCCTTCCTGCAGTGCCAGTATCCAACCGCTGAGCGGTACAGCTCGCTGACAAAGCTGGTCGGCATACAGAGACAAATATTGGTCAAGTGGTTTGTGGACGCACGATATTATGTTAAAAAGTACCAGCCAAGCTGGATGACAGTGAAGCAACACAAGGAGGTGGTGGCTAACATCAAGAACCAGCAAAACAAAGATTTTTAAAGAAACAGAACAGAGAAGCTGCTCAGGGAGTTGAGTGAGAAGCAGAGTAGCAACTGATCGCTCTCCACGCACACTTGTTACAATAGTTTATAAGAAGATTGGTAAAAATTTGTGAGTTTTTTTTCTGACGAGTTTTAGAAAAAGGATTTTCATTGTTTTGTTCTTTCCTTTCAAATGTTACACTTCACTGTTTGATCGTGTTAAAGGTCCTCATTTGCAGTTTGAATGCAGCTTTACATCAGTCAGCCTTTTACTGCTGTAGAAATGTTTTTATAACAGCTCAATAAAAGCACTTTGGAAACTCATTCCCATGATGTTGATTCGTTATTTCTAAATGTCTGGACATAGCATTTAGATACACTGGCCAGAAATGCTTAATTATGTAACAGTCCTTCATCTAAAAAGTGTTTTAAGTGAGTTCAGATAACAGTATAGATAAAGAAATGCTGAAATAATATATATGTATACTTTTTCAGTTGATAACTGACCAATCCCAATTCTCATTTTAAGTGTATGCCTACCCTGTGTCCAGAATTACTGAAACAATTGAATTAATTGTAGGTTTAATAAATAATGAACATATTGTATACATGATTATGAATTTATATTAAAATTGTTCCATTTTTCTTTGTTAAAATGTATTTATTACAATTTTTATTCAAAGAATCCCAATATAAATATTTATATCACAAATTATTCGCTCATTGAGATCGTAGTATTTTTCACCCTGCAGAAGAAAAGGCTTCACAGAAAATATACAAACAAAAAAACAGGAAGGTTTAAGGATACTACATAAAATATGTTGCTTAAAACACAGCAGCAAAAAAAAATAAATCAAATTTTAACAGACACTTGTTTTCATATTCAGCTTACTACTTAATACCGTCAAAGTAGTTATTGCTAAACATTCAGGCCTCAAAATTGTAGATGTTTTTTGGTCCACTGCTCAGTCTCACATTTCATTGTGACACTATGATCACAATCATTATAAGCCCTCATAAACAAAATCTTAACATATTGTTAATATCCAACTACCAGAAGAATTGATTAACAACTCCCACATCAAAAATACAAATATACACAGCTAGAAACTACTATTCAGTCCGTGGTTGTATTAAGGAGAAATGAAACTTATATTTGTAATACTATTGCCAATTTAAGGCCTGATTGTAAGAGTAAAGTCACAATATGTCAAAGAGGCAACATTTCATGTTGAGGCAACAACACAGGCTGAGGATTTAATGCCAGCTGGCTGTGTACTCGGCCCTCTGCGGCTGCCAGAGCTCAGCGCCTTCGATGACGCGTCGGATCATGGATGCAGCGGTGATAAGCAGGTGCCCCGCACCCTGAAGGAGGGCGGAGGCGACGCGCAGCACTTCCCTAATAAAAAAAAAAACATCATAACATTATCCGATTTAGATAGTGCACTCCTGTATGAAGACGTAAGATTTATACAAGCTCCATTAAACCCATCCAGGGAGGTAGCATTTTAGAAAACAATTTGAGGATGAGCTAGAATGAGTAAAAACGTCCAGTTTTCAGTTTTAACATTAGAATTTTTCTTTTAACCATTTGAAACCACTCTGACTTGAACAAGCTAACTTATCAGCTAAAATAACTAGCAACACAGACACCAAAAAATGTTTTTTTCATAAGGTGTTATGATAAATAATTGAATTTTAAGCTGAAAATCTTGAGCTTCCCCTGAATAAATAACCCAGATCCACTTACCGGAGGACTTTCTTTGGCCCCAGACACTGAAAGTCGGCGCTCACCGAGTACAGACCTTGGTATGTGGCCTTCACACTTAGGGAGCCAAACACATCCTTGGGGCTTATTTTGTAAAGGTCAAAGGTGACTCGCGCTATGTCTTTACCAGTACGAGGCTTGTCGTGGTTTTTAAGCACAACTGAACCCTTTAGAGATAGAAAGGATGAATCAAACCCAGAGCGAAGGTGCAGGTAGAGGAAACGTTAAAAGACTCCAGAATGGCGTCCAACTCACCGCCTGAGGTTTCCATGTCTGTCCGGGCTCTAGGGCCATGAGCGTGGTGTTGTCCGGCAAGGTCATGAGGAACTCGTCAGAGTCCACCTCAGTACCATCATCCTCACACACCAGGTACACAGAGGCTGCAGAAATGGTCAGCAGCAAAGCCTGGCATACCTAATAGAGGATACTATGTTCTAGGTTAGGAAGAACGTATTTGTATTTTTATCCAGGACCTATAAAGTCAACAGGGTTGACAGAAGTTGGTAAAGACGTCATTGCTGGAGTCTGCATTTTTTCATTTTTTTATTTTATTTATTTATTTTCGTATTTTTTTCCTACTTGCTTTGATTCTGTTTTATTTTCCTATATTTTAATCGTGTAAAGCACTTTGCATTTTCTTTGTACTGAATTGTGCAATACAAATAAATTTGCCTTGCCTTGCCTTTTTAGAATTTCAACACAAAACCTATTAGATAAACATTACCTGATTCATACTCATAATTTAACTATAGTTTATTTAATTAAAATGCATAACTGTCAGGTTTATGGATTTAGAATTAATAAAGTATACTTACGCAGAATTAATACTGAGTTTATAAAGAGTACATTATGATTTTTGCTTGAATTGTGTAATAATAATGTTAGCTGTGCAACTCAAACAATAAACTGTATGTATTTGAAAATGTATTTGAAATCTGATTTTATATTTTAAATAAATAAGAAATTAAATAATCTTATACCTATGAATCTGCAACATATAGAGTTTATTGAATTGGATTGTATTGAAATTATGTAAAAAAAAAAAAAAAAGTAAATGATTATTTGTTATGTGAGGAATCTATATAATTCTTAAAATGTGAACTAAATATTTTTGTGAGATCACTAAAATATTTGAAAAGATTTAACATGTTTAGAAGTTGCTCTCAGTTTTCATGTCCGTACAGCTGATTTTTTTTTTTTTTTTTTTTCACTCAGCAATCTAAAATTTAGTGAGATATGTCTCAACAACAATGGGACCAAACTGGAAAATAATAAGCTGGTAACTAGGAAAGATAGAAAAATTGACCTTAAAGACAAAACACTAACCGCCATAATAGTTAGATAATATTGTGATGTGTTTAATTAACCTCCCAATTAATAAAACAGAAGGTATATAATATAAATATAAAACTTTTCTTTAACAGGTATTCATCTTTGGCAATTATGCACTATTTACCTTTGAAATCTGTGTGAAAGCTTAAAGTGCTTAAAATTAAGCAGCAAAAAAAAAAACTTAAAATTACAGAGTGATCCTTTTTTCATCTTTGATTTTAGGATGTCTTGAATTCTCTTAATGCTTCAGATGCTTAAACCAAAGCTTGATCAGTTGATAAAACATGTAAACAAGCATCATTTCCCACCGGCCCCCTCTCAGCTGTAATATAACGTTAACGTCTACAAATCTGACGTGTTGGTTGAGGGTCAATTTTATCTTTTCACAACTATGTTGTGTTAAACATTTTCTTCTCTTAATTTCTGTCATTATTATGATATTGCTGTTGTTCTGACCCTCTCTTTCAGCTCCTTCAGGGTCCCTGCTGTGATCCCTTTCCTGGTCTCCCTTCTGTTACAGCAGACTCTGAAAGGTCGCTGAGGTGGGGACCAGACCCGCTTGGTCACAGATCTGAAATAAATCAACCAGAAAAGCAAAGTAAACATGTTTTTTTTTCCTTAGGTTCTGAATTTTGATTTTATCTATGATTAAAAAAAACAGACTGCCACTCCTTAAAAGCAGCCACAGTAAATCCGAACCTTCAGCCTAACATTATTGATTTGGCAATTATCAATGAGAAAAAAGTAAAAACAAGCTGTCAACTTACTTGAGGAGTGAAGATGTTGTTTCCATTCTTCTCTCTTTGCTCTTTTCTCAGCTTTTTGCTGTGCTCTTCAGCTGTTATGGTATGATAAATGCCTGAGCTCCTCTCTGTGTTTGACCCAGGAGCTGGACTTTGCCTCCAACCTGTTGATAATGCAGAAACAGAACAGAGAAAGGCAAAGTTCACTCTGGCTATGACTAAATCAAGTAAAATAAAATACTTCTAATGACCAATAACAAAGTGTAAAGCTGATCATACTTGGCAGTTTAGATTTCAAAGAACATTTTATGGAACAATCCTTATCATGTCGGTAAGCAGATGTTAGTTTTAGGCCTGTTTTAATGTAACACTGTGTTTATTTTGGTTATTATTGGTATTTATTTTCAGTTCAGAAGGATGTTTATTATTAGTCCCAATAGTTTTTTTTTTCTTAAGCAGGGTTAAAAAAAATATTTTACCAAGGAGAATATCAACAGTTTGGAAAAACAGAGCCACAGACGTCTCCAGAAAAGCTGCATGGACAAGATATAACCTCACAATCCAATAGAAATGGGGAACTTTTGTGACGCAGAGTGGATCATTATTATATTTAAGATAAGTTTAGCTAACTGACTGCTGCTAAAGAAAAAAAAAAAAAACATGTTTTAGTAAAGTTTTTTAGTAAAGTTGTGTTTATACTTATGCAACCAGGTGATTAAATTGCTTATTTTTCATGTTTTTTTTTTTTTTTGTTACATTGTATGAAATAAAAAGAGAAAAGGGTTTTGTACTAACTTTTCATGATCACAAAATAAAGGAGATCCATTTTATTTGAAGTTTGTTTTAGAAGCTATTTAGCAGCAGTCTGTGTTCTGGCCTTATAGAGCTTTAAACAAAAGTTATAGCAATTTTTAAAGTTTGTTAATTATTCCCCCATTTGCATATATTATGACATATTGCTGACTGCTAATCAGAATATTACATAAATGTATATTAGTGTATATTTTAAACTTTCGCTTCTGAAATATTATATTAACTGTTTCTATACAACAAAGAAAGGTATAAATGTATTATGTCAAATATTTTCTCGTTATATTTGTTTAATATCTTAATAGACTGTTTTGCTTTTTTTTTTGGCTGGAATATAGAAAATTGCAGAACAGAAATATCGCTTACATCAAGAAATGTTTTTAAAGACTATTGATGTCAGTTGTGCTTTTTTGTTTGTTTGCTTTTTGTCTCTCCAGCTGGCGGGCAACTTTTCTACGTCATATCCTGAAATCTCTTTTGGGTATGCTCGATTATTTGAACGACACACCCACCCGAGCGGAGTGTGACCAATGTTTCGTATAGAGACTCGGTAAGCACCACCCACTCGGCATGTCAAATATAATAATCCAAGCTTCTCTTGGTAATTCAATGAAGGCGGGATGGCAGAGAAGCGGAACTTTCGATAGAAGTTTGTTTAGTTCGGTTTGTTACCAAGAAGCAGCGAATAACGTTGCTGTTATTGTACCGTTTGTGCTTTAAAGCGCTGCACGAGACCGGAAAGGTTTTGTTTTATTTACATGTGTTCACTCATTTTACCAGCATACGTGGTTAACTCTGCCTCTGTTCGGTGCTAAGCTAACTTTTATTAACGTCAGTTAAACGGAGTATTTGCAATGGCTGAGAAAAAAAGCAAAGAAAACGGTAAGTAGTTAACTAAAAATTACGATTTTCACCGCTAATGTTGGGTAACAAACATTGTTGAAGTTTATCGAAGCAAAATGTACTCTTTTGGCAGCTCGAAATGACTTGACGTTTTTTAAAGAAAAATGTACAAAATTACAAAGTCATGGGCGTCCAACTTAGGAATGCTTTCCACGTATTTGAACCTAAAATAACAGCTTTAATTGCGGGAAAACTATACAGATGTCCCTATGGTGAAACATAGTGTAGGCAGCATCATGCTGTTGGGATGCAAAGTTAGTGAAAGCCCTGCTTTAGCTGGGTCAAATACTAAATGGATGCCAAATTTGGGAGATTTTCATTTGAAACCAATATTGAAGACCATTCTACATTAGAATTGTATGCTTAGGTGTGTTGATCTGTCAAATAAAGTAAAATTAAACACAAAAAAGGGATATCTCAACTGCTATGTGCTGTTCATTAGAAGTGCATTTACAGAGACATGATGCAATTCAAATGCTAGATTTTCTAGTATATCTACAGTGGAGGAAAATAAGTATTATTTATATATAACTAATATAAGTATATAATATAAGTATTTGAACACCTTGCTATTTAAAGTTCTCCTACATAGAAATCGTGGAGAGGTCTGAAATTGTCATCGTAGGTGCATGTCCACTGTGAGAGACATAATCTAATCTAAGCAAAAATCCAGAAATCACAATGTATGATTTATTAACTATTTATTAGAATGGTACAGCTGCAAATAAGTATTTAAACACTTGTCTATCAACTAGAATTCTGACCCTCAAAGGCCTGTTAGTCTGCCTTCAAAATGTCCACCTCTACTCCATTTATTATCCTAAATTAGATTCACCTGTTTGAGGTCGTTAGCTGCATAAAGACACCTGTCCATCCCATACAATCAGTAAGATTCCAACTACTTACATGGCAAAGACCTAAGAGCTGTCCAAACACACTAGAGATGAAATAGTACACCTCCACAAGGCTGGAAAGGGCTACGGGGAAATTGCCAAGCAGCTTGGTGAGAAATAGTTCACTGCTGGAGCAATCATTAGAAAACTGAAGAAGCTAAACATGACTGTCAATCTTTCTCAAACTTAGGCTCCATGCAAGATCTCACCTCATGGGGTGTCAATGATCCTTAGAAGGGTGAGAAATCAGCCCAGGAGGAGCTGGTCAATGACCTGAAAAGAGCTGGGACCACCGTTTCCAAGGTTACTGTTGGTAATACACTAAGACATCATGGTTTGCAATAATGCATGGCATGGAAGGTTCCCCTGCTAAAACCAGCACATGTCAAGGCCTGTCTTAAGTTAGCCAATGACCATTTGGATCCAGAGGAGTCATGGGAGAAAGTCATTTGGTCAGATGAGACCAAAATATAACTGTTTGGTCATATTTCCACTAACTGTGTTTGGAGGAAGAAGACCATCCCATGAACACCATCCCTACTGTGAAGCATTGGGGTGGTAGCATCATGCTTTGGGGGTGTTTTTCTGCACATGGGACAGGGCGACTGCACTGTATTAAGGAGAGGGATGAATCTAGGCCATGTATTGCCAGATATTGGGGGACAACCTCCTTCCCTCAGTTAGAGCATTGAAGATGGGTCGAAGCCGGGTCTTCCAACATGACAATGAAGGCTGATTTATACTTCGAAATTATGTCGTCTGCGTAGGTGTCGCAGTGAGCAAAAAAAAAAGGCCCCGGCGTCTCAGCAGACACTCTTCTGCACCTCTCTAAAATTGTAGGTGGCCGTGGACAGGAGGCCGGCTTTTTTTGTTTTTATGACCGCAGTTGCGGAAAACAACGTGTGAAGTTGAGAAGAGCGAGGTGTGTGAGAAAGCGGGGACCCTTTTTCCACCTGGATCCCCGCTCTTTTTCGCCCTCATGTCTCTCCGTTGTTGGACAAACTTGCCCCCACTTCCTCACTGCCTCGGCCGTATCTAGACCCACAGCGTATAGCGCAAACCACGCTTCAAAATTGAGCATAAATCAAAAATGTCTGCGTCAACCTCACTGCGACACACTGCTGCGGGGAGTACAAACAGCCATTCACCCAAAGCACACAGCCAGGATAACCAAGGAGTGGCTCTGTAAGAAGCATATCAAGGTTCTGGCATCGCCTAGCCAGTCACCAGACCTAAACCCAATAGAGAATCTTTGGAGGGAGCTAAAACTCTGTTTCTCAGCAACAGCTGAGAAACCTGACAGATCTAGAGAAGATCTGTGTGGAGGAGTGGGCCAAAATCCCTCCTGTAGTGTGTGCAAACCTGGTGAACTACAGGAAACATTTCACCTCTAGAATTGAAACCAATCAGAATCAAAGGCTACTGTACCAAATATTTAATTTCCTCAGGTGTTCAAATACTTATTTGTAGATGTATCATACAAAGAAAATGCTAAGAGAAAATTATATATTGTGATTTCTGTTTTTTTTTTCCTTCCTTTGTAGAGTATGTCTCCCAGTGGACATGCACATACAATAACAATTTCAGACACCTCCACGATTTCTAAGTGGGAGAACTTGTTAAATAGCAGGGAGTTTGAATACTTATTTTCCCCACTGTGTATTTATCAGTATGTTGAGAAATATAATGAAATTATTCCAAAATAAAATGTGTTTTTTTGTTTCCTAAGGAACAAAACTCCTTCTTTACACCAGACTGATGTTGCCTTATCCTCACTATGCTTCCAACAGCTGCCTTCTTTAGTCCAATTAATTTTCCAATATTTTATTTTTTCCCCCTCTCCAGATGCCAGCCTTCCTTTTGCTGCTCTCCAGCTCCTGGCCCCTCCTGTTCGCCTGGTGTCGGCAGCTCTCTGGAAGGTTCTGAAGCAGAGGGATGTGATGCAGTATGGGGTCGTGGAGGAATTTGTCACTTCAGCCTGTGAGACCGTTCCTGGGCTTCTTACCTTGCGACATCAGGGCAAGCTGGCACTGGGCCTGAGAGCACGGGTGACTTTAATAAATAATAAGAACTATAATTCCTCAGTTAAACGGCACTTCCTAATCACTTTTCCTTCTGTCTTTTCAGTTGATATTGGAGTTGTGTCTCAAACAGCCGGATATTGACATGATTGCCCCACATCTGGAGAGGATCCGGGCTCCTGCTCCTCTTTTATCTTCATCTTCCTCTACTATGGTAAAGTGAAGCTGGAATTGTAATTCAGACCAAATATTTTTCCCCCATATCTTTTTTCTTTCACCATTTTCGTATCAATAACGATGGGAAAACCTTTAGCCAACTTTAATTCATCTTGGGGTACCTGTTTGATTAGAACAGGGCAATGTTTATTGATGCAAGGGCGAATTAAAGAAGCAGATGATTAGAACTGATCTAAAGTAGGTTCCCTGGGACCTCATGCACAAAGTGTTCAATCCTCTCCTCCTGAAACCTGAACTGAGCTAAAATCATGAAATCTATGCTGTAAAATCCAGATTCATGTGACTCTGGCAGCGTGGATCTAAGCATGAACAAACCATTTACTTTGGTCATCCCAACAAACACAGAGTTAACCAAATATGTGGAAATGCCCAACATATCCATGGAAACACCTACATTTCCATATGAAATTTGAATAACTTTATTTATTCAAATAATATTTTCTGCATGTGCGACACTCATGGTTCCACGGTCAAAAGTTACTTCTTCTCACTGAAAGAAAATAATAGTCAGCAACTTCTTAGATTCTATCAGAATCCCCCAAGGATGTTCACCAGTAAAAATGATCTCACTTGTGTAAATCAATATAGAGGACAGGAATGTTCTTGAAAGCAACTATTGCTTTTTCTTCCTCCGTTTACATGATTAAAAATGAAATGGTGATTAAAAATGTTAGACCTCTCAATTTAAACTAAGAGTAAACATGACTGCACTAGTGAATCTGTGCAAGTGAGCATGTGTTGGTGAATTCCTGTACAAAAAAATAAAAAGCAGCTTTTAATGCTGGCCCAAAATGTCAGCTGGTGTAAGGCTCATACAGGTGCTGTTAGATCAAATAAATCGTGACGGGCGCCACAATACAGAGGTTTTAAACCCAATGATGATTAGCTCACGCTCAAAATAATCAGTTGTTTACTAACCTTTACTATGTTTATGTGGTTGGTGTTTCATAGATTTTTTTTTTATTTTTTATGGTGCATTCAGACTGAAGGCAGTTTCCGCAGTGACTTTACGCAAGCCCCTTAATTAGTTCACTGCTCTGCATTTCTGATGCAGTGTTTACACCTTGGACTGCATCATTGAATAGGACGAGCTTCAGCTGCGTGAAACTTGACACCCCACTGATGTGCAAAAAAAACCTAGCCAATAGACTGAATATGTGCATTTATAATGGTCATTTGTAAAAAAATAAAACATAAAATGAATAAAACAATTGCATGTGCCACTGTTTTTTTTTTTACAAGATATTAAAGATTAATTTTTAGTTGGGCTGAAAAAATTATTTGGATTTATCGTGAGTAATCAGTTATTGAAATAAACGTCAAATAATTTAGTAATCGATTAATCGTTAACTGGAGCATAAAGCCTCTAAAACATGCCTTTAGCTCACAGAGCAACCCACTTAGAGCAGAAATTATGCCTATATTGTGAAAAAAAATAAAAATTTTGCATTTAAGATGAAAAAAAAAATAAAACTTATCTTTCAATTGTGGAAAAGTTTTAGTTTCACCTTGTTTGATTTTGTAAACATCAATCTTTAAGGAACCTTTGGCTATCCGATTATTAGTCAAAATAACTTTTGACTGATTAATTGATTTGCAAAATAATCGTTAGTTGCAGCCCTATTGTTTAGGTCACCTGAGGCCATTCAGCTCCGAATTGAATCAAATTGACCTAGCCTTCTTTTTCAGTGCTACTTCATTTGTGTTTTTTTTTTTTTTATCATTTTCAATTACTGTTGATGGCATCATCATCCCAGCAGAGGTTAATGCTGTTGTTTCAGGATACACAGTTATTGCATAACATTAAATGTCATTCCTGTGCTGCTATTGATTATAACAGTGAACACATTTACCCTATTTATTGGCTGGAATGATTGTTTAATATTTAGTAAATCATCAGCCTCCCAGGCTCTCTGCTTTTGACCTACAGTTACCCCTGACAACCCCATGTCATTTTTCGGCATTTCATATTAAAAGCAGATGGTAAACATGTCATCATGGACTGCTGCTAAGTTGTTCTCTATGCACAACTTTTGAATCCCCTTGAAGAAGGCCTACATCCATTTTTGGAAAAGCACAGGAAGCGCTGAAAATAACTTTGATTCATCCAGAGCTCCATCTAGATGAAGGTCCCATTCTGTGGTGGTTCTTCATAAATCTAATCAGGCATAAACCAGACCGGGGTCTGTGCTGGAGGTATGGGAGGAAAGCTGGCCGTCGTTCTTGGGCTAAATTAAAACAGCTTTTTGAAAGTCAACTAAAAACATCTTGAGAAGAGTCCTGATATCTACCTTTTTTAACAATATTTCCTCTGTGTTCCATTTTAAGTGAAAAAAACTTTGCTTAAAACCAGTCCCTGATTGGCTGCCATGTCGTGATTTCATAGAAAGGTTCAGCTCGTTTCATCTTCAGTGTTCACCGCTCTTCTCTCCCTATGTGGTGCTGCTGCTTGACAACACCTCAACTCAATCTGAGCGAGGGTGGAGCAGTGAACGCTCTCACTGCGTGATGTTCACCGCTGGCTGCTTCGCCACATGAATATAGGAACTCTATGTGATTCCGCCTTGGACACTGCATCCAATCTGAACGCACCATAACACAGAGGGTATTGTTTGTATGCAAAACCAATACACTACGTGAATTGCATTTCAACTAGCCATTCAGGGAAGCAATTAGTCACTTTAAAATTTAAATTGTTTATGTAAATTTAACAAAGTTGGCTATTTTGATATTACAGGCTGTATTTTTATATCTGATTTTGGCTTATTTGGACAGGTTCAAAAGGTTAAACCCCCACTACCAAGTGTCTATAAAACAGCATTACACACATTAGTATTTAAGGTTGATTTCTTTTCTTTTTTTTATTCAGTGTTTGAAGTTTTTTTTTTTTTTTTTTTGCAATAAAATGTAAAAAGTGTAATCTGTGATTATTTGTCTTCCAGAAGAGGGATTTAAAGATTGTGAAAACGGTGGAAAGTTTCCACGCTTTTGTTAAAATGCTGCTAACAAACCAAGCTGAGAAAGAGCACTTCTTTAAAGTGAGTACCTGTCCACCAGCAGCCCCTCTGAAGAGAAATGTCAATAACAGCGAGCAGATGGTAATCTTGGTGTTTCTCCGATAGGAACAGTTTCCAGTGGATTATGGCCCAAAGTTTGACCAGGAGCTGGAGAAACTGTTGTGGGAATTCCTGATTCGACTCGACCAGTTGCTTCCAGTTCCAAACCTGAGCCAGGTAGTGACAAAGACACATCAGTCATGTGTGGTGATGCAATGCTTTGTTTTAGAGGGTAACAAATGATCTGATTACAGACAGTGTCGTGGCTCAGCGATACCCCTCCTGTCCTGGAGGAGTGTGCACAAGCGGCCACTCAGCCGCAGCTGCTCGACATCCTACTTCAACATCAGGCTTGTCTGGGTCACCTGGAGTCGGCAGGTAGGCTATGACCTTTGGTGAGGTTGTAGTTTCGTATTGTAGGGGGGATTTACGTGTTTCCAAGCGCGATAAATCAATTATTTAAATAATCGTCAAATAATTTAGTAATTGATTAATTGTTAACTACAGTATAGAGACTCTAAAACATACCTTCAGCTGACAGAGCGACCTACTTAGAGCAGTAATTATATCAAAATTGTAAAAGAAAATATGTAAACTTTTGCATTTAAGAAAAAAAAAATGTTTTTGTCTGTAAATATGCTCTATCCTAACTCCTCAAGTGGAAACCTTTTATTTTCTCTCTGTTTAATTTCATAAAAAATCTCCTTTATGGAACCTCTGGCTGTCTCATTATTAATCGAAAAAACGAATCAACAGATCGATCGATTTGCAAAATAATCATTAGTGGCATCCCTAAATTACAGACCCAAAAAGATGACTGTCATTAATGAAAAAGAAAATAATGTTGTTTTATTCATTTAGGTTTTTTTTATATTTTATGTTACATTTGATAAGAGATTGGAAAGACAAATTTGAAGACTTTATTTGAAGACTTCTTTATGTTTTTTGTTGTTTTTTTGCATTGGTTTCAGCCTTTAAATCTTAAACAGGATAATTGTTGTTCACCGTAGCATGACCTCGATTTGGTAGGAATCTTTATAGGGGAAAATAAATACTAATAATAAAATTGACCTTGCTGTAAAACACAAATTTGAATTCAAACAAGTACATTTTCTAATATCAAATATTGATCATAAATCCAGTGTTAGCAGATGTTAAAGGTAAAGTGGAGGATGCTCCTTTTCCCGGTGGATCATCAAAATATGTGGTCCTCCTATTTGTCAATCATTCTAGTGATGTTTACGTAAGTCTCTCCTATGTGCTCGTCATTCACCATTTCCCCTAACCAATGGTGAGTCTTAACATAGTGAAAAAATTGCAAATCTTCCTTTGGAAAGTAAGTGTGTATGAACGATGCAAATGGCAACTTTTAAACAGAGCGTGGCCGAGGAGAAATTGGCTCGTGCGCACTCTTGCACGCGTTTAATAGGAGTTCCCCCTCAGTTGCAGGTACGGGGTTTTGTATTTGCATTTTTGTGTAAGTGCAGCCATCAGTGGTTTATTTCCCTGTTTCAGACATTATGGTTGCCTATTATTGTTGGGCTTAGGTGCTGGAACCTCCCTGTCTTATAATGATCTGTGTACAGAAACCTTTGTATAATATGGAATTAGATTGAAGTTTGAATAGGTATGTAAAACTGAAAATAAAGTATCCTTTCCTGCTTTAAGCTGCTTCTCCATCCAGTCAGCTTTGGTGCTGATTCTCTATTGATCTGCCTTTGTATCCAAAATAAAATAAATGTGAATCCAAAGAATTCTATTATGGAAATCGATGAAATTTTGACAGAAAAATATATGCAGGAACCCAAAGCTCTACTGACCCCTAACTGCTGTTTGTTTTTCCCTTCACAGCGTCTCTTCCCCCAAACATGGGGGACTCTATCCTGGCTTCTCTTTCTCTGCCTCCATCTGGAAAAGTCCCGTCTAACCAACCAACAGGGGTCAGTTTGTCTGCCCCTGAGCGGACAAACGGCTCAAAGCCAGGAGAGGGGCCGTTTATTAGACCTGTTATCGGACTCATTTCTAACGACGATGTTCCAGCCATGATCTCTGCCAAGAAAAAAACCCTGCAAGGTGCTCAGGGGTCCAGTTCAAACGACCCAACATATGGTCAACAGAGTCCAAATATGAAATTCACTCTGGTTAAACAGAAGCCGCAGCCTGTGGAGGTGGAGCAGGTGCATGAGGAGAGGAGCCCCCTCAATCCCAGGAAACGGAAGCATCCTGAACCGGCAGGAAGCGACTCGGAGGAGGAGGAAGAGATCTCTGAGAATACACCTGGAGGAAAAAGGATAAACAGGAACCAGGGAATCGGCGACACCGAGGAAGAGAGATCACACACCGCACAGAACAACGGCTGCAACAGAGAACTGCTGAATTGTTATATAAACAAGCTAGGCATCGAAAAACTCCACCTGCCTGAAGATCCGTCTCTCTGCTCTATGCTGGCTTCCTGTCTCAGCAGCAATCCCAGAGTGATTGTCCACAAACTGTCCTTTTCCTCTGTTAGCGACGGCTTGTCTGGAGGAGAGAAGAAGTCCTTTAACAAGCAGAAGCAGAGAAAGAAGTCCTCAACGTGGAAACGAACACCTGAAAGTCCTGGTCTGGATGATAAAGAGTAAGGCTGAGGAATAATGAAGATCTAAGGAAATCAGTTTTTTATGCTCTGGGTTTTGTTGATCATCTTTGTTGTTGATCCATGTTATCATTTAATTACCATTAAGTCTGTTTTTTATATCTAGAGCAGGAATGTGATTATAACATATTTAAAGAAAACACCAACAACTCTACCAACAGGAGCAAAAAGATTCTCAGGGTTCATGCCGTGCTGTAAGATCTGGAAATGTCAGATCTGCTTTCAATAATATGCTTAGTATGAAAAAGGAAAGCTTGTTTAAACTGTTTGCCTTTTATTCTGTTATCAAGAGGCTGACAGAGAGAAGGATTAATATCATAAGAAATTATGAATAATATCAATAAAGAAAATGTTATAACTACTATTTAGGTTGTATCTTTTATCCTCAAGGTCTGACATCAAAGTTTTTACCAAAGGATGACATTTTTAAAATGATATGTATTGTGAGATAATTCAGTTTCGTTTCCATAAGTCTGCCTTGTAGTTTGAAATGAATCAGATCTGAGTCCAGATTTAAAATGGAGGAAATTTCTCTTCCACTTTAGAGGTTTATGAATATTGTTCAAATAGTTTTTCATGTTTTCAGTGTTCTAAAGTAAAAAATTAACAAACAAAACATGGTAATCTAATTAGGGAAAAAATGTTGAATATTAAACTGCAAAGCAGATTGGGATCCCTAGATTTCACACAAGACCAGCGAGTAGGAAACTATAAAAACCAGTAATTTACCAAATCAGTTAAGCTGCCATAGCTTAGCACTATTAGATTGACAACAACACTCATCAAATCAAAGTCAGTTGGTTTTTAATCAGGTGTTTAAACATGAAGAAGCAAAGATTAAAGAAGTGAAACTGTATTTCCTGTGGATCCAGTTCATTCAAGCTGTTACAGGAGGTGGTGCTTTAGTAAAACATTAATAAAAAGCTTTGTTTTCCCTTAGTGGGACACAGCTGTTACTTTTAAAATGATTGTTAAACAAAGAAAGGTTACGGCTGTTAGGAAACCTGCTCTCTTTCTTTCTAGCTGCCTGTTAATCCGAGTGACTTCACTGTATTGTAGATTTGCAGGGAAATCTGTGTTTTTCCAGAAGCGTTGATGTTTGAACACTGCAGCTCTCATTCTATCCAGGCTCTAGAAATTCTTTTTCATTATGATATATTGAGAAGATGCAATGGTTAAAAAATCCTGGTCAGTTTCACTCTAAAAGGAATTGGACATAAAAACTCTTAATTGGTGAATCAGAAAAATAAAAACCAACTTGTTATGATTAAATGTTTAAATTAATAGCATGGATTCTAAATTGAAATGTTAAATATTTATTTCTCTCGGCTCATCCGTTAATCGTCATACATTAGATGAGTTAAATGCATTAAATTAACCTGAAACCTGAGCTCTCATTGTCTACAGTTACCACTTTGTTTTTTTCACCCAACAGAAATCGTCCTGTTGTATCCAGTGGAAGCAGCTCCTCTAGCCGGCAGAGGGATCATGAAGGTGATTTAAAACCTTCAATGACTGATTGAAATTGATGGGGGAAAAAACTTGAATTTAATCTGGTATTTTTGCTTTTAGAGACGATGGCTGTGACAGCAGACGACTACGTAGCGGATTCTGAGGATGAGGCATCGAAGAACTTCAAAGGGAGGGTATGTATGCTCCAAACGTTATTGGTGATATTTTTCTTCACATAAATTACATTTATGCACAGTTGTTATACAGTTATGATGTAAGGAATGAAAATATTTGATATTCACGTAAGTCCTATTGGTTTTATATAACAAAAGGGCTTAATGCATTTTTGTTTTTGTTTTCTTGTCATCCACCTTTGGTGTTAAGTTTATAATTTTAGACAGTTTTTTTGCGTGTTTTAAACTGTAAGATGGATACAGTAGTAGCCATTCAAAATTTCCCCACTTTCCTTGGCTGATCCCCCTTCAATTCCTTTTTAAATATAAATATTTTTACTAAAATGTTCTTTCTGGGGGGTGTGCAGGAGGCCTCTGTCCTCGACGCGGGCGACCCGGGTTTGAATCTGGCCTTTGGTCCTTTGCTGCATGTCTCTCCCCCTCTCTCATACCCCCTTTCCTGTCAGCCTACTGTCAAAAAAAAAACAAAACAAAAAAAACAAGCCACTAAACTGAAAAATAAAAAAAAATATTCTTTCCATCATGATTTGTGGACATTAAGATCTAAAGGGAAGCACAAGCACTATTTCCTGGTCAGAACATGTAATTCAGTGAAAGGGTGGAGTCGCTGTAAAAAATAATAATAATATGCAAGAGGGGGTCACTCCAGTAGCTGGAAAATGGGGGGGGGGATTTCTAAATTACTAAGAAAACAAGCTAACGACTGGAACATCATAGGGGTTGGATCTATCATTCTGTTCATCTTTTAGTCTATGAATGTCTGCATCCTTCTATTCATTTATATCCTACGGAGCCCCTCTGATGACATGGTCAAAAAAAAATTTTAATTGTGGCCACGAAATAGTATTTCGTGTGCACGAAATACTACTTAGTTTTTATTTTCTGAAATTGTAAACTATCAGCCCTTTAAAGCCCGCCCATTAAAACTAGGCCTTATTGCTTTTCTAACATAAACAGAACTCGAGGTAAAAAAAAACAAAACTCAAGGTCAAAAAAAAAAACTCAAGGTCAAAAAATAAAAACTCAAGGTCAATGTAATTACCAAATAAATATATGGTTTTTAAAAAAAAACTGCAAAATGTGCTTCTGTAAGAAATTCTAGAAAAACTTAATAGAAAGAAAATCATTTTTGTTGCAAGATAATCCTCAGTATGTCAATGCTGATACAGAGACTTAAATGATTTACTGTTTAAATTGGCTTTTTACTTTTTTATATCACTAAAGTTTTAAAATTAAGGTTTTTATCTTGCAGTATGCAACATTGGACTACTGCTGGTACTCTGTGAAATATTTTGCATTTACCTTTAAGAAAGGCAGCCCCTACAGACCATATTTGACCACACAATTTCTCTTGTTTGCCACAAAGGAGGGTCTAATACAAGTTACCAAAACAAATTTCCAACCTGGAGGATAAAGGATAAACTCAGAAATCAACATCAACTATCAGCCTTTTAAAGCCCTAGGCCTTATAGCTTCTCTAACATAAACAAAACGAAGTAAAAAAATAAAAACCCAAGGTCAAAAAATAAAAACTCAAGGTAAAAAAAAAACCTCAAGGTTTTTTAAGGTTTCTATCTCGCAGTATGCAAAATTTTCACACTCAATTTCTCTTGTTTGCCACAAAGGAGGGTCTAATACAAGTTACCAAAACTAATTACTAACCTGGAAGATAAAGGATAAACTCATAAATCAACAATAGGAGTCAATATTGCAACCTGTTTGGATCTGTTAGCTGTTAGGTTTTGGTTTAGCGGAATAATCATCCATCTGAGTAGGATTGGGAGCAAATGTATAGATTCCAAGCAGCGTACAGGACTGTCAGGAGGTCCCCAAGCTTCATGAACTACCAATAATGTCTTCCTACCCTTCCTGGCTGCCAGCACTGTTTCGATGGCACTTATCTTGGCGGTGACTGACTGAATAAGGCCCCAGGATCAGCTAAGTCTGGCTGTTAGAATAATGAAAAGAGCTGCTCAGAATAAATCGCCATGGTAACGGATTGGTGAAACTGAGTGGAGGCTTATTTAAGCCAAGATATCTGGAAAAGCCAGGTTTAATCCACCATCTTGATTTTGTGTAACAGCCCTCTGGATTCTGAGGTGGTCAGGATGTTGTTAAAAAAAATAAAAAAATGAATAACATATTTTATATAATAAAGATTTATTAAATCTCAATCTGTTCAAATTTTTATCTCAATGACTTTTTCTGATGTTCTAGCCATCAGTCAAACATATTTCCAAACTTCAAAGTTGTCAGCTGTCAAACTTCATTTTGTGCTCTGTCTCCCCCAGCTGTTCATCAAGCGTTACTACAAGACCAAACATGGCACATATGTTCCCACCCTGAGGGAGTTTTGGAAACCTACAATGACCCGACCGAACTTGCTGTCCTCCGCCAGCAAACGCAGGTGATGAAAGGAGGTCATGGCGTGCTGCTGGGAAATTAAAACCATACCTGACTTGTGATATAAAAAAAGTTAACTTGGGAAGAAGTTGAAGAAAGTATAAAAACAACCCACAAATAGCACTGTGACTTTTTATAGACTCTTATGTTTTTATTGCTCTTTACATGTATATTCACTTGATTTTTTTTTTTTTTTTATGTAGTTTTGAGGTAATTAAAATCCTTATATGTGCTTAACTAATAAAGATTCTGAATTGGAGTGAAAGCTTATTATTGTTTCATTGTTTTAAGTATAATTAGTGGGAAAAATAGATTTCCAAACATTTCAGTCATCAGTGATTTAAAAAAACAAAATATAAAATCAAGCTCATGCTATTTAGACTCTGCACAGCTATATCTGCAACTTAGAAAATGCTTATTTTTTGAATTACTACCTTGATTCTAATGACTGAGGATGCATAAATACAAGGAATAAACATTGAACAATGATCCGTGATCTTGAGAAAATATAATCTTATCAAAAAAAACACCTTAAATCCATAATTATCTTAGTTTTTTGTTTTGTTTTTTAACAACAATCACTTTGAAGAATAGAAGATCATAAACGGGTCTAAGGCTCTGTCAGCAGGGTTCAGAGTCGACAGCCCATTCCTCCCGTCACCGTGATGGTCTCTCCTGTAATGTAGGAAGCCTCATCTGAGCACAGGAAAGCTATCGTCCCTCCGATTTCTTCAGGTTTCCCGATTCTGAAGCGACATAAAGGAAAAAGAGAAATATTACATGAATTCAGCAGCTTATATAAAATATTTGTTAAACTAAGCTTCACCTTTTAATGCTGAGTTGCTTTTTGAACTCGTCCAAAATGTCTTCGTTTTCCCACAACTGGAACAAAAATCAAACCGTCATAGAGCGATCAACAACCACAGGCCTTAAAGTCCAAAACGTGTACGTGTTTGTGTTCTCACCGCAGAACTAAAGCGCGTCTTTATGATTCCAGGGGCCACACAGTTCACTCTGATGTTACTCTGAGCCAGCTCAGGGGCCAGCACCTTGGTTAGCCCCAGCAGGGCAGTCTTACTCACACTGTAGGGGCCCAGAGCCTGCAGAGAAGCAGTTAATCTACATTTTACTGAACCCAGAAGACAAACTTACTCCTCCAAATATCTTTACATATCTGGTAAAGATGTCTTAAAACCCTTTTTTAAATGGTAAAGCATTATATTGCACAAAACAGAACCTTTACACATTTGTAGAACTGCGGGAAGATCGCTCATTTGAAATCACATGTGCAACACTTTTTAATTTAATAGGTTAGACAACAAAACAAGCTATTCATGAAGACAGAGGGTTATTCTTCTAAAGAGGTTTGCATCCACTAGCATAGCAACTGATGTGATTAAAATTGAGCCTTTTAAACAATAAACACCTGGAAGGGCGCCACCAATGGCCGAGTACGGCAGAGGATCTATGGTGCTGTTGGACTATATTTCTTCAGAAAACTGGGAACTTTGTTAAAGTTCATGACTCAGAGAAATCTCCAAAGAAAATCTAAATAAAGATAATGACATAATGCAGGATAATCCCAGTCCCAAGATCTGAACGTAGAATCAGAAAGAGGAAGAGCAGAGTGCTGATTAATGGAGAGGAAGAGGAGGGTTGTACAAACTAATCAGCCAGAGCCACCAAATATTGCAGATGCGATTTTTGGTAAAAATGTTTTCCCCATCACATAAATATATTTAAATTACTTGCTTCAATGGCGCTATGCATTATGTATTTCAAATCACATTCCTACATATTTTCCAGGGTGTACAATAACTTGGAAACACAGTGGTCCATTGATATACTGTATTGGTCCAAGTATAAGGGAAGATTTTCGTTAGAAACTGTCAAAATGTTAAGTCGCCTAATAATCGGGGTCTAACCAATTATACAGAATGACTGTTGTCAGCAGAGGGCGCCAGTTTTTTTGTAAAGCCGAAGATCTCTTAAATGGGAAAACTGGCTGGGGTCATTTTTCTATCACAAAGAGAAGAAGTGACAAGGATGCTACAAAGGGAGAGTTGCTGCCCAGAATGAAGTGGATTAAAAGTCAGACAAGTTTGCAGACATTTGAGGCAGAGTTATGACGCCAATATTAAAATAACGGATCGTCAATGCAGTGGAGGCATCAAACAGCTGTCAGGCACCAAAGAAATTTTGAATTATATAGTGCAATGTCAGAAGATGGCACGTTCAAAAAGACCATAAAAATGCAAACAGCAAAAGAAATGTTTATCAAAAAATCGCAGAGCTGCAGGGTGAGAGGAGTGCAGTGAGGCAGAGGCTGTCTGTGAGGAAAAGCCTCATGCAGGTTTTGAGACGTTCTGTGAGCAAAGTTCAGATTGCATTCGAGCTGAAGTGTTGCAAGATTTCCCTTAAATGTGTCATTACTGTGTTTTTTTTTTTTTACTTTCTATTGTTTAAATGCACAAATCTTTCAGTGCAATCATTCATATTGTGTGACCATTTTTTTATAACCGTTCTGCTGCTGTAAACCCCTGAATGTCTCCAATGTGGGACAATAAAGGGATTTTCTATTCTATTTTAATGAAATCGTTAGCTCTTCAATATAAAATAGTTAATTAAAATAGTCTATTTTTATTCTTTTTAGTCTTTTTGTTTTGTTCCTAGAAAGAGGGGATCATCTTATTATCAGGGTCGTCCTATGTTCGGGTCAGTATTGTACTTAATAGGGGAAAATATTGCGAAAACATGAGATGTTTAAACTTTAACACCCAATATTTCTGATGATGCATCTTATCTGACCTGCATCGGTTGGTATCCAGCCACAGAGGACACAAATATTATGTTTCCTCCTCTGAAAGAGAAATTCAGATGCATCAGAACCATTGCAGATCACAACATCAGAGGTTAACTGCTTCCCTTCTGCCCTCACCCTCTCTTCTCCATGTGAGGCACCACCAGCTTAGTCAGGAGGAAGGCTGATTTGACATTTACAGACAAAATCTGGAAAAAAAAAACAAAAACATTGTTATTAAGCTTGCAAAAAAAGTGTGAAACAGAAATATTTGTTTTCAATGTGTGTAAATGATGTTGCAAAAAGCCTCCGTCCTCCTTAATCTTAACATTTTTGTCAGATGACATGAGGTTTTAACTGGGTTTTATTTCAAAGAGGCACAAAACCAAGCATGACTGTGAAATGGAGGGATGATTTTAAAGAAATTGGAGAGTGGAATGCTGCGCACTTTGACACCTAAAAAGTCAAATATACACAATTCCTTTAATAAGTGATCTAAATAGTGAGAATCCACCGGTCGGTAGTTTTATCTGTGTGAAAGCACCTGAGGTTTTATTAGAGAATATCTGTTAATAAACGGCATTAGAAAGACCAAGGAGAAGAGCAGACAACTCCAGTCTTATGAGACCAAAGGGAACTTTTTGACCTCAGTACAAACAAAAACTACAAACTTGTAAGAAAAAATTTGAGTTAGAAACAAATTATTTAAAAGATTAAACTGAAACATGTTTTTCTTGAGAAAATGGCTTGAAAAAGTTCAGTTTAGGTCACTGGGCATAAAGTTTTCTAGAAGACATTTCACCTCTCATCCAAGAGGCTTTTCAGTTCTAACTAGTGGTTGGGAGAACTGAGATTAATATACTGTAGGTATTAGGGTTGTCACGATACTAAACTTTTTAACTTGATACCGATACTAAGGAAAATATTCGATACCACAAGGATAAAAACAAAGACTCCAAAATTCAACAGAAATATTTTCATTAATAAATAAAATACAATAAATAAATACAATAAACAATAAGAACATTATTTTGAGGTTGTATGCTGTGCACAATATTAAGCAAGCTTGAAGCTTAAAAAACTTATAAAATTATATATATATATTATAAAATTAAATGTTCCTTCCTTGGCTATGCTTTGCACACATAACAATGACGCCAGCCAAACAAAAATAATTCTCAGCAGGTGCACCTGTTACAGAAAAAGTCTGAAACTGAAAAGTGCACAGAATTATTTAACCACACAGTGTTCTGAAAGTGCATTGTCCTCTATTCTGCACTTTAGATGCACTTTAGGTGCCACTGGTGTTGGCACTGTATCGATACTTTTGAAAATGAGTATTGTATCCGGATACAATGTTTCAGTATCGATACTTTTGACAACCCTAGTAGGTATATTAGAAAAGAAAACGGGGGGACAAAATGTGACTTTGATGTGTACGGTGGATTGGCCAAGGAGGTCACAATGGGGGGTGTTAAAGGTCGTTAGCGGGTTCTGATGGGTCGTTAACTCCTTGGTCAGAGCCTCAATGAAGTGTGAGTTGGAGGTGAATCTTCGGGGTATTGTTCCAAAATTTCTTTGTAGTCGGGGGAAAGGTTATGTCTAAGACCACCTCCTCTTTCAAGAGATGTTCTTTCCAGGTTAAAGGTGCACTAGGAAATCTTTTCTAATGCATTTTTTACCTCGTGGCTTGAAGATCTCTGCACAGGTTAGCAAGCAGTGAAATAGAAGGTCTGGAAGTGAAACTAAAATAAATGGTCCCCGCTACAGTGCAAAAATCAATGAATAACCTCAACCAATCACAAAAGACGGTCCGTTGTACACGATTGGCTCCATGACACATCAATCATGGTCGTCCGCTTGTCCCTCCCCCCCTGTGCGAGTACCATAACGCATGAACGAAGCGACCCCCCAATGCTCGTGCAGGACGCCATGGCTGGAATCTAGCCACTGTTATACTGCGTTCACACGACCCGGTGATGGTATGCACGGGGCCGCCCGTGTCCAGGCTACTTTCACCGGGTCCTGTTGGTCATTCTGTCCCCAGCCCCGGAGCTCACGGCTCTGTTCTTCTTCACAAATCCCAGACAATTTTTAAATTTCCCCCGAACATTTTTTATTTTTGGTATGAAAAGTAGGACATGTCCAGGAAAAAGAGGACGTCTGGTCACCCTGTTCACACCTAAAGCAGCAGAGCAGCAAAAACGCGTGCTGCTTCATTTTTGATGCTTGTACAAGTTTAGTTTTGACACGTGGCTGAAGCATCTTTGTTGCTCTTGCTGCGCGGTGGAAAAAGTGGGTCTGATGCGCGTTGGGTGGAGCTACCCTATCCTTTCTTTGCCTGTAACAATGGCAGCTATATTTGCTGTGATCAGCGGGTAAAAACTAGTTAGAATCTATTTTGAAGCGAGAAAGTCCACCTGAAAACATCGTCAGTGAAGTCAGTTCATCCAGATTAC